CACGGGCGCGCGCGCGCGCGCGTCCTCTTCTTTGCTCTCTCTCTCTCTCTCTCTCTCTCTCGCACAATTGAATCGGCAAAACAGCGGAGATAATACCTCCTTTTGCTCCCAAGTCTCTCTCTCTCTGTATATATATATATATATATATGTGCTTTTTCGAAAGCGAGATGAGCTCCCTTCTTCCCTCGTCCCCTTCTTGTTTTCTTCTTCATCTCGGGGTGTAAGTATAAAAGGTATAAGCTCGCTTCTCTATGAGCCTGAAATGGACACCACATCCGAGAGTGGGGGGTGTGTATATGGCTGTGGGGCTTTTCCACAGTGTCCTTCCATTGTGGGCGTGTGCAAGTTTGTCGGACGCTTAGGATCATTGGCCGATCAGACGTTTTATTGTACGGCTAACCGCTATGGACTACGATCAAACATATACAATGTACCTATGGATGTTTATAAAGTACCATTTTTTGGCGTTTTTTTAAATTTTTATTTTAATTTTTTTTTTATATACATTTTTGGTTTGTAATTAATAAATACAAGCAAGAAAAACAAATATCCCAAATCGAGTTTCTGTGAATATAACGATGAATCCTACGATGCTGAATATTCGTAAATTCCCCCGAGTCATCCCAAGAGTTGGAATGGGATAGATTTCCAAATTTTCGAAAACACCCCCCAACGGAAGCTCTTATAGAAATGGTATAGGTGTATGTATCCATAAACACGTGCGAGCTTGATGTGTGCCCAGACGTTGCGGAGGGTCCGCGTGGGGAGAAGGAGGGCTGCAATGAAAATATTTGGATGTTTCGGTTCCCCTCGCCATATACACACAATACCCAATGATACACACCCATTGTTAAATGTCAGCGCCACCGCGGGAGCTTGATACTTTTCTCCCGCAGCGGGGGTGGGTTCATATATTTATATATATACCTAGCTCTTTATGAGCATACACACACATGCGTTTCCGGCGCTGCAAAAATTACCTTTCGCGGGATCTTCTTGGAAATGTCTTTGGCCATTGTGGCCGAGTATCATACATGGATAATACACGCTCGCGGGGGAAAATGGTATTTGCTGTCAACGAGAGACACGGGCGTTCGACGTGGGAGAGGATTAGAGATTTGCTTTTATGATGACTTTTTAGGTTTGCAGATGGACAGCCTATACTACTTTGGAAGTACGTGCGTGCATGTTGGTGCGAGCGAGGGCTTGTATAGGCGAAGGTGTTGGATGTATGGGGTTTGGGTATAAGATCTAAATGGGTGGAGGGACGAGGAGTAAGTCCTTCGATACGTTCAGTGGATACGAATGCGTACGTTTGGCCATTGTTGTACTGTGTGGGTGCGAATGAAAATAGATGACACGATTTATAGGGTGAACAAATAATGTATTTTAATTGAAAATTCAAAAAAAGTACCACGTTACCAATGGTTTTTTTTTTTTTTTTTTTATTTATTTCACCTTTCGTTTTGATAATTAAAAATGTTGTCTTAACTCTATATCATATGCTAATACTATCACACTAAGCCAATCGTTTGATCTTGCACAAATCACTGCCTTTTCGTTCTCTCTAACGTACTATGATAGTAGTCCGTGTTTACTTTTTTCTTCATTTTTTATTTCTAATATAATACGCATGTTCTACAAATAAGAAAAAAATCACTCGAAGACAAATTATATTTCTCGAAAGCTTCTGTATGTTCGATAAATCATAAATATTATGAAACGAATAGTCGATTCCACATGAATTACAAACAAAGTGTGGATGTTATATGTTGTATATATGTACATTATAATGCTCCACAGTTTTCGAGTTTATTAATACATAATAGAAAAACATAATTGGAAATATATTTCCCTTTTTTTTCTATTCGTTTTTTATACGTTTTGAAAAATTATCATGTATTTGTGCCCGTATCACTTGTGTAACTCCATTTAAATTTGATACAATAACTACGTAAGACTTTATTCCTTTTTTTTTTTTTTTTTTAAACAGCATCAGCTTATACGTTTAGTTAGATATGTATATCATCGTTGATCATTTTTTTCATTTACTTGCATTGTAAAACGTGTTTTTTTACAAATTCTTTTTGCCCACTTGTGATTAATATAAGTTAACATTTTCTCATGAGTTTCATGTATTTTTAAAATAAATATCATCAGCTGCTGCCAGTAAAAAAGAGGTAGTAAAAGGTTGTTTAAATTTTTGGATCCAGAAAAAGTATCAATTTTTTTAATAATTTTAATATAATTTTACTGATCTGTCTACCCGTTTAAAAAATTTTGACAATTGATTGTAAAATCCCTCTTTGTTCAAAGTCATAGCTAAAATATTTTTCAGTAAAAATTTTCTTTTCAGAAAATGATCATAGTTGTTTCTAGTTACTAGAAACATGTTTTGGTACATCATTATCTTTTTTTCGTTGACACAACTGGTCAAACAAGCTGAGATAGTGTCACGACCGAGCAAATTGAGTAATAAAATAAAACCAATGAATAATTCAATTATTCATATCATACAACATTTCTATGATAATCCCCTGCATATTTACAATGAAAAGATTCACATAAAGCTTACTCATATGATATCAATTGGATACCAAAAAATGAATAAATAAAATAATAAGAGCACACACGGACTATTTTTATATATTTATTTATTTATAATATATAAAAATCGCATATCGACGACTTTTCTCAGAAAAGCATGTATTTATTATGTACGTAGATTACACACCGAGCATTAAAGGATAGAAAAACATCGAGCATCTTTTTGATGATAATGATTTACGTAAAACATTATAATCGAAGAATTATAGGTAATCATTTTTTTCTCCTTAAATCCCAGGGAGAACACATAGCGAGATTAATGGAGTCACTTATGCATGGATCACATTCGCTTTCTTGATACTTTCTTTCAATGGCCTATCTAATAATCGAGTCTCAATAGTTTCACGTTTTTGTTTTTTTTTTTTAGTTAATTATTTACTTTTTTATTTTTCATTTTTTTAAACATTAATTATTTTCGTTGCGCATTCGTCTATATACCCTACAATCTCACTAATTTTGCTATACATATTTTATTTATTTAGCTACACGCTGTTACACAAATATACACGCATTATTATGGGCTTACTATTTTTTTTTTTTTTCCTTTTTTTTTCCTAGTTACCTAGATGGTTGCTTCGGAGTGGAGAAATTCTGTCTGTGCATGATAAAATTATTTGTATCAACTGTTATAAGCGAAAATTGTATTATTTCAATATTTTTATAACAATATTCAGTCCATAATTAATGTAAAATTATTATTACCCCAAAAGATTTTTCTAAATCATCTTGAACTAAATTGTTTGTATGAAAAATGTTTCAAATCCATTAAAAGGCAACTTTTGGATATTGTTAAAGGAGGTAGCACTCGAATTTATGGTGAGCAATGATTTTTATGACGAACTTGGAAGACTCATTAGATTGCTTGTCTTTAGTCTTATTATAAATCTGCACCACGGATTCTCGCAGAAAAATTATTTAAATCTCAGTAACACAATTGAAATAATTTAAAAAAAACAAAGTGTTAATTGTTGTAAAATTCTTTTAAAAATATTCATAAAAAAGAAGTTTGCAATGTTTCTGCTCCAGACAGAATTTTATAATTAATTTCTTTTATCGCTGAGTGTTTATATAATATTATGGACTGCTTGTNTTTATTTTAAATATTAAATAAAAATAATGTAATATTCGTAAGTGCGTGGCTTTCATGTAAACCGTAATATGGCATCGTTTTGAGAGTATATTCAATCGAAATAAAGAAAAAAAATTATACGTCTAATGCAATATGTAATACTGGTATCAATGACACGATTGCACAGTAAAACTGGCGTTAAAATATTTTCTTTTGTTTTTTTTTTTTCAATAATTTAACAGAGGTGTTGTTCTTGTTTTATGGTATTTTAGATTGTATCTTGATTTTATATTGCATCAACACATATTCTCTATTCAATTACACTTTGAGATGCATTTTTGTTTAATAAGTATATTACACACATAATCGGAGCTTTTAAAAACATCAAAGAGGGATAAAAGTACTGACTTACAAAAATACATTCAAGATTTAAAATGGGTTTTAAAAATATAGTAATTCAAGGATACAGCTAGATTGCTTTATAAATCAATTGCTTTAGGCCTCACATAGTACTCGTAGCTATAATTAGTAATATATGTTATCATGATTATTAATTTATATGAAATAAGGAAATTTTGTTCATCATTTTAGCATATTATATCTATTTAATCCTTTTCTTTTGTAAAACTGAACAAAATTACATTAAAGCAGTATATTTTTCAGACTAAATATTTTGTTGATTTATAGTGACGTTTTTCGATGTAAGCTTGCTGAAATTTATAATAATTGCTTCGGAAAATTTTTTAAATGTCAGTCCTTTATTTCTTATTACCTTCTATAGACACACAAAGTTAAAAGACTCCTCATGCACCCCAACAGCACACACCGATAAATTACAATTCGAACATTATACAAATGACCTATGAAAATCTCACTTGTATTTCGCACTCGACATATATGCTCAATCTCTTTATTTATAAATATTGTTTTTTCTTAGAAAAAATAAAAAAAAAACTACCTACGAACTTTAAAAAAACACGCAAACAGGACCAAATGTCTACGTTACAGCTGCTAGCAAGGTTATTCCAAAAATCGAAAAATCTCAAATTATTTTATTTATCTACAAAAAATTCACTTCTAATTATATCTAAATACAATTGAAAGCTAAAAACTCGGGAACGATCACTAAACAACGACGCGATTAAACGTAAAAAAATGCTCTGTCCATTATCTCACATACAAAAGTATATGCTCAACAACTTTTTTTTTCTTTTTCTACAATTTCTAATTAACTCGTCGCATTGTACTGCTTTCAGTCGTTTTTTGTTATATTTTATTTTTTTTCTATAATAAAATACCATGTGCCTCGAGTCTTGCGTTGTTACATTTTTTTTTTTTTTTTACCGATTGATCAAGCGCAGACACGAAACTACGATGGTACACTTGCTACTGATTAATTCAACTTAATTGGTGTTCATCCTTGTGTGAGAAGCCAACGGCTAGGTGCACCGTTGACCCGTCGAGAACGCAGCTATCTACATAAAAGCTATACAGAGACAACAGATTATTTCTTACGTTTCCCTCGCTCCCCCAATGGGCCTAACTTAAAAATTTTCACTTTAGTTTTTCTTACAAGTTTTCTATACAATACGCGCGCGAGTGAAAAAAGCGATGATGATCGATGGAAGGGAAACAATTTTTTGACAAACAAGCGCCACCGGTTATTCCAAATATACGTCTGGAACTTTTCGAATCTCTTCATCATCGCTTTAAGCTTGCAAGGATAGCTCGTCACTTAAAAAATTTTTTTTTTTTTTTTTTTTATTGCGCACACACTCATTCGGTATTTAAGACGGTACGATTGCGTTCCTTTATATTTTACAAAGAGTACTACTTTTTTTTTTTTAATTTCTATCAATTTACAAAATACGTGGAGTACAATACAACTTTATCAGCAATCAATCAATCACGTTCATTTTCAACGCTAATCAGTTATCACAACGCAGGAGGTTCGATCTCTTTTTTTATTGTTAAAAAATGCATTTTTTCGTCACACTCAATTGAGTGCACAGAATATATGAACAATCGCTCAGCCCCTCACGGAGGTGCCTCATTAATCTCACTGGTTTTATTTATTTATTTTATTTTCTTTTTTTTCTTTTTTTTTTTCTATGCCTTTTACGTGCTAAAAATTTTGTACAACGCATTTGCAGGTAATTTTTCGCGAATCAAACGACTAAAGCGTGTTTCAGAGAGGTAAACAAAGATCATCTCTACGAGAGGAAGGAAACAATAAAAATGTGTGCAAATCTTACAATTCAACGCTTGGGCTTATTTTTAGTTTTGGGTTTGCGGCTTCTTGCCGCCCCGTGGTTTTATACTCTCGGAGATCTGCCACATGGCCTCCTCGCACAGAAAGTCGCTAAAGTTGTTGAAGAACGTGATTATACGCTCATTTTTCTTGAAACTGTAAGTTCTGGAAGAAAAAAAAAAAAATTCCTTCATTGGATCACATGGGACGGAGCGATAGATTCGCTTTGTTGCAAATGTACAAAAAAAAGTATACGAGAGACAACTGAAGGTATACAATAACAGTGCAACAAAATAATACATCAAAACACGCGAAGAGCATCAAGATCTCGAACGTGTTGTTATTGTTATTCGAATCTGTTCTCAAGTAACCAATGAAAATCCTTACCCTTTTTTGAACCTCTTCATGTTCTCCACTATGTTGAATTGCTGCCACCGTTTCGAGAAGTTTATGCTACCGTCCGGCAGTAAATCGCTGTTGCCTATGTGCACGAAAGTCAAGTCTTGCAAAACGAGACCGCTGTAAGGAAGAGGGAAAAAAAAGTCATGTCACCTCGAACAAGTAACGTATAGCAAAAAAAACCCCACAACTAATTTTTACTCACATGTAAGGAATGCACGGCGGCTGGGTCTCGGCGAGCGCTTGCCGATAGGCTCGAAAGCTACTGGAGCTGTCGATCAGCGCACAGTACTCCTTGAGACCCTCGGTGATGTGCTTCTGCCACTCGAGTCGACGAATCGGCGCACTGTCCAACGCCGACAGTAGCGCCAAGTAGCTGTTGAAGTTGTTGATCTTGCGCAGGTGCTTCATTATCTTGATGAACTTGACGACGAGCTTTTCCCGGTCCTTCGCCTCGTTCTCCATCCTAAGGCCAAACGAAGAATCGGTAAATGCCGTTCCCCTCCGACCCAAACGCGATTTCCTCAGTGGACAAACCTGTGCTCCAGTATCCTCGACCGCGCCCAGTACGACATTTTGTTGAAGTGTTCCGTAAAGCGCGTGAGGTTCGGGCTTCGCTCCTCGTTCTGCTCCTGAGCCCAAACCAGCACCTCCGGTATCTCGATCTTCATGAACAACTCGGCGTCCAGCAGCGTCATCTGCTCGGCGATCTGTTCGCTCTTGAAGTCGAGCAACGAGGCTTGCTTCGTGGAAACGCTGAGCGACGAGAGAATCGGTTGGGCCGCCTGCATCTGCTTGGCCGCGTGCTTCTCCAGTATCTTCACCCGAAGTGCCTTGGCCATCGTCAGGTCGCCGCTGCAGACCAGCTGCTGTACGAATTCCATGAGCGTTTGCAGCAACGCCTCGTCCAGATCGGATGTTCTGTTGATTGGAAAAAACAAAAAATCGGTTGGACATCATGATTTGCAACGATTCGATGATGCTAAGATGGAATAGGGACTCACGTTAAATCGCTGACGACTCTGACTAGCAGAGAAAACGCTTCCCTTGCTGCGCGTTGTTTAACGACGTCGGGAGAACACGAGAAGCGCTGATGCCGTCTGTGCAGCTTTTTTATCAACTCCAGAGGCGACATGAACGTTCTGTAGGTCGTCAAGAAAGCTTCCTGATAGAGGAAATCTGGAAAGAACATTTTTTTTTTTTTTTTTTTTTTTTTTTTTTTTTTTTTTTTCATTTCTCCGTTGATTTAGCGAGTTTGATGATAAATGTTAACGGCAAACGGGCACAAACAAGCGTGACATGCTGAATAATTTCTACACCAACAACTACTGAAACTAACCTGATTCTTTCTCGTCTAATGCAGGTTTCGAACAGAAAATGAAAAAATGAAATTAGATATCGTTGATCGTGAGGTGATGGTGATTGTGTACGTGTGGTGTGTGATAATGAAAGATCGATCGCAGTTTTAATGAACTTTTACCAAAAAAAGTGTGTAGGTATCTCATATTTTGTACAAAAAGGAACGATGATTTAAAAGTAAATCGTTTTTATATGATTGCAGTTGGAAATAACAAAAAAAATTCATGAAAAAGCCGAAAATAAAGTTAACCGTAGATTTTTTCACCAAAGCATCAATACATAAGTGGAAAGAATAAAATAAAGCTACTCTGTAAATAACAGTTCATTTAAACTTATCGATCACGCAATGTGTACAAATATATATTATCAGACTTGAACATGGCTAAATTTCAATTTTTTTTAATTACTTCTTAAAACACATTTCTTGATAAAAAATTTTTCCAGCAAAATCAATGAACAGTAATGAAAAAAAAAAAAAAAAATGTTTTTTCCCGACAAAACATAATACACTGCAACCAGGAAAAAAAAAATGTTTAAAAATCCATAAAACAATCCTGCACAAGTCTGTACATTGTATAAAAGAGTGTGGGTATATGTGAAATTGTAAAGAAAAGCGATCCTTTAGCTCACCGTGCTTGTTCGCCTTGGTCGCGTGAATCAAAAGCGCGTCCGGGTGTCCGCCCCGAATATCCGGGCCATCCTCCTCCGGCTTCTTGAGCACCAAGTACTTATTGATCTCGAGCTCGTCCAGTATGCTTTCGTCCTGGTCGACATCCCGCAGCTCCAACGAGTTGTCGTCCATCGATATGCTCGACGGCGTTTTGCTCGACGGCCGCGGCGAGCTCTCGAGGTTCAGGCTGTTGTTCTGCGAAATGGATTATTGTTATTTTTTTTTTTTTTTTTTTTTTTTCAATTCACAAAAACAGATATCGTTATCTCTTGGATTTTCCACCAACGGTTGGGTATACGTAAAACATTAGCACACGTACTATCGCAACGCTATTGACGGAAAGCGCGTCTTTCTTGTCGTTCAAGCTGGACACCATGTTCGACTCGTCGTGCTTGACTGGCGTCGAGGTGGCGACTATCAGCACCGGGGACTCTTGAATTGCTGCGGTCATCGTCGTTGTCGTCGTTGGTCTCGGGGATATCGGTGGTGGTGGCGTTGCCGCGCTCAACTTCACTGATCGGGAGCGCTTTGGCGGTAGCGCTGGTGGCTGACTAGAATCGCTGTTGAAATCCCGCATCGACGGCCCCATCGTGAACGCGTGACTGTTTTCAACGTTTTGCACGTGTCATCAATATTGTCGTTTTTTTTTTTTTTTTTTTTTTTTTTTTTTTTTTTTTTTTTTTTTTTTTTTTTTTTTTNGAGAGAGAGAGAGAGAGAGAGAGAGAGAGAGAGAGAGAGAGAGAGAGAGAGAGAGAGAGAGAGAGAGAGAGAGAGAGAGAGAGAGAGAGAGAGAGAGAGAGAGAGAGAGAGAGAGAGAGAGAGAGAGAGAGAGAGAGAGAGAGAGAGAGAGAGAGAGAGAGAGAGAGAGAGAGAGAGAGAGAGAGAGAGAGAGAGAGAGAGAGAGAGAGAGAGAGAGAGAGAGAGAGAGAGAGAGAGAGAGAGAGAGAGAGAGAGAGAGAGAGAGAGAGAGAGAGAGAGAGAGAGAGAGAGAGAGAGAGAGAGAGAGAGAGAGAGAGAGAGAGAGAGAGAGAGAGAGAGAGAGAGAGAGAGAGAGAGAGAGAGAGAGAGAGAGAGAGAGAGAGAGAGAGAGAGAGAGAGAGAGAGAGAGAGAGAGAGAGAGAGAGAGAGAGAGAGAGAGAGAGAGAGAGAGAGAGAGAGAGAGAGAGAGAGAGAGAGAGAGAGAGAGAGAGAGAGAGAGAGAGAGAGAGAGAGAGAGAGAGAGAGAGAGAGAGAGAGAGAGAGAGAGAGAGAGAGAGAGAGAGAGAGAGAGAGAGAGAGAGAGAGAGAGAGAGAGAGAGAGAGAGAGAGAGAGAGAGAGAGAGAGAGAGAGAGAGAGAGAGAGAGAGAGAGAGAGAGAGAGAGAGAGAGAGAGAGAGAGAGAGAGAGAGAGAGAGAGAGAGAGAGAGAGAGAGAGAGAGAGAGAGAGAGAGAGAGAGAGAGAGAGAGAGAGAGAGAGAGAGAGAGAGAGAGAGAGAGAGAGAGAGAGAGAGAGAGAGAGAGAGAGAGAGAGAGAGAGAGAGAGAGAGAGAGAGAGAGAGAGAGAGAGAGAGAGAGAGAGAGAGAGAGAGAGAGAGAGAGAGAGAGAGAGAGAGAGAGAGAGAGAGAGAGAGAGAGAGAGAGAGAGAGAGAGAGAGAGAGAGAGAGA